CCCCCTCGGCAGCGCCCTTCTGGCAGGTAGGGCCGAGCCCCGGCGTCGCGGTGGCCGGGGGTTTCTCTTCCCCGTGACGAAGTGGGGCCGGAGAGGCGCGGGGGGAAACGGGAAGGGCCCCGCGGGCGGAGAAGGGACCTCCGCGGTGACGCCGGCAGCCATCGCTCTTCGCCGGGCGCGGCGGCCCCCGCCCGCCGCCAGCTCCCTCTGAAAAAGCCAGCCCCCGAGCCTGGGGCTTGCCCTAGCTTTGTACATGGATTGAAACCAAGCTATAGCGCTTTGCTACTTGCAGCATGTATGTGCTTAGTATCATTCTTGAAATTTCACTGCAAGGGGCATTTTTTTTTTAATTATCAACCTGGTTCTTATTTTGTGCTGCATCTTACGCTCCTTTTTTTCTTCAGCTTTTGGAGCCTGTTCGCGAAGATAAGCCTGCCGGGAGAGCAGAGCCCTCTGAAAGAACCGACATCCTCGCCCTAACCGATGTACGAAACAGCGCATACTGCTTTTGAAACGTTTTTAGGTGTTCTCAGTTCACAAAAGAAGCTGAAACTGTTTAACTTAATATTTGATGGTCCATCTCTGTATAAAATGATATACTGAAATGTCAGCGTTCAAGAAAATTTCTTAAATTGCCTTGACGTTTACTGTTATGGTGACAGCCTGTTAAAAGCCAGCCTTCTGCCTGACGTCGCTGCTGTTGTAGTTCTAGTTGACAGACGTTGTTGTCTTCTTCCAGTTTTATTACCATGTTTACTATAATTGTCCTGTTTCTTAGTTTTATATTTTGTTGAGATAAGGACGTTCTTCAAAGTGATATGTCTCCTGCAGTCTTTTATTCCGCTACAAAAAGGGAACAAACAAACAATTCACCAGGCACATAGGAAAGGGAGAATACCTGAAAACCGGTCCTAGAAAGAGAGTTTCAAGCAGACAGTATGTCTAACACCGTTATAGGTTCAGAAACTTCAGTTCAGGCTAACTTAGCAGAATAAAAAAATGACCTCTCAAAGAGAACAAACTGTCCTAGAGCTCCCCAGTGGGTTTTTTTGCATCCTCTAGGAAGCGTCTGACATTACAAACACCAAGAGAGGATGAAATGAAATAACTGTTTTGGCATAGACATTTTTTGTCTCCATAAACTTCAGGCTAAGTTTTCTTTTTTTTTAATTATTCATCCTTTTATCTGTTCCTAGTTTATGACTTTTGGAAAGACCCTTGTGAATGAAAACCCTCTTCTGCTTTTTTATAAACAATGTAACACCGTATTTCTATCAGAATCTGTTACTGACTAAAATAATCAGTGGAGTATAAACTGTGACTTTGGTTAGCCTATGAACAGTCAAACTCTGTGTTACTTGGAATCCAGAAAATCTGTCTGCAAAAGCTTTTTTTTAAGTATGTCTCTTAACTTACTTACTTAATGCGAGTACTTCCTTAGGATCAAAATGAGCTAGGCAATTTTGCTGTTGCACTGAATTGGACAAAAACATGCAGGAGACGACAGGTTTAGCTTGTCTTTTTATAGGCTGCTGAACTCAAGATGTTAGATGCAACAGCCACAGTCCAGTATCTGGTCTGCCGACCAGGAAAGGTGTATTAAATCAACATGGGAGGAGACCTAACCATCCTAAAATATAAATCGGTAGCTACCTAGGGGTTTTTTTTATTTTCCATGGGTTAACTGATGCTATTTTTGTTTTGTAAGGACCTTCATTTACCTGTTGCTGTACCCGAAGTTCCCTCGTCGCCGAGACATGAATTTCCTGCAGACTGGAGTATTAAAACACGACTTCTATTTATGTCTTCCCAACCTTTCACCTGGGCAGAACATTTAAAAGCGCAAGAGGAAGCTCAAGGATTTGCTCAGCATTGTAGAGCTACAGAAACAAACTTGCCACAGAGCATACAGGTAGTATTTCAGAGGGTAGCTCGAAGCTCCAGCTTTAGGAAGGAGAAAGGTACCTTTGCACCTTTCCTTAAACATGCTGGCAGCGAAGGCTTGATTCTGTTTTGTTTTGGTCTTGCATTAAGAATAAGGCTCATTTAGACTACTAATCTTAATTCCATCCATGGTTTGTACCTGTAGGGGCAAACAGTGATAAGTGAGTGGTCGTTTAACTTCAACTGTGGAGCAGTTGCCAGTTGCTGTCCGTCTTTCTTCAGTCTGGCTGATTCACAAGCCCAGGATTTTTTTTTTTAGTATCATCTAATGTAATATCTTTTTTTAATCCATCACTTGCAATGCTGCCTTCAGTAAAATATTACTGTCCTCATAAAACACTTTTTGACATCTAGGAACCAAAACTGTCCACAGAACTGCGTTGTGCCTTTCAGCAAAGCCTCGTTTACTGGCTTCACCCTTCACTGCCATGGCTGCAGCTGTTCCCTCGGATTGGAGCAGATAGAAGAATAGCTGGAAAGGCTTGTCCTTGGTCACAGGATGAAGCCTTGCAACAAGCACTAATGAGCGACTGGTAAGTGGAACCAAATAACTGATGTTTTTAGTACAATTAAGACAATGGGGTTTTATTTAATGCACAAGTTCTTTCCATTTCTATGAGAAAGCTTTTTATTTTTTTTTCCCAGCTAGAATGCTCGTTATTTTGAGGACCAGGCTAAGGAACTAAGTTTAAGACTAAAGCTACCTTCCTGTGTCAAATGCCCCTCTCCAACCCTAGTTACTGATTCGGGTAGGATTCCGTAAATCCCGTTAGCAGGTTGCCTTCGATGCTTCGTGTAAACTCACATGCTAGAAAGCAAGTATGCTGGAAGAGCATAGTACTCACAAACAGGCTGCGTTTCAGAGGAGTGCGGCTTCCTAGATGCCGGGCACGTCTGAAAATCTGACTAATGACTCAGTATGCTGTCAAACCTGTGCAGAGCGCATGTCGGTACCACCCAGCCAAATCCAGTTTGATGTGTCAATAGCAGAGGATCAACTTCAGTTACAGAACTGTTTTATTCTCATTTGCAGGTCTGTCAGCTTTACATCTCTGTACAATCTGCTCAAAGCCAAACTGTGTCCCTACTTCTATATATGTACCTACCAGTTTACCGTCCTGTTCCGTGCAGCTGGTCTTGCGGGAAGTGACGTTATCACAGCTGTAATTTCTCCCACAACTAGAGGTTTAAGGGAAGCCATGAGAAATGAAGGTAAGGTGAAACCAGTCCAACTAGGATTTGAATAACTGATAAAGTGCATTAGCTGTGTTACAAAACCATTCATTGCTTTCCTTCCTCCTCTGTTCAAGGCATAGAGTTTTCTTTACCTTTGGTAGAAGAAAGTAGAACCAGGAAACAGAAAAACTCTGAAGTGAATCTGGAAACAGAAGGTGCTAACAGCCTCCAAGTGGGCAACAGCATGGAAGATGGAGAGTACGTAATAAGTCTTCTACAATGCTAGAACTCAAGGGCATCTAGAGACTCCTGCACATTCCATTTGGAAAACCTTCGTAGGAAGCATTGCCCTCCTAACACCGATTCTGTGTTTCCCAGGGAACCAGCTCCAAGTGATGATGACGACGAAAGTTTCTCTTGGCTTGAGGAGATGGGAGTCCAAGACAAGGTTAAGAAACCAGATGCTATTTCTATTAAACTGTATCCTTGCACATGACGGCACTGGAAAACCCTGCAGATGTTATTTTTCTGTGGTATAGATTTTTTATAAAAGCTTTTTGAGAACTTCTTTCCAAATATTAATTCTCACATTACTGCATATTAAGAGACTCTGCATGTCTCTCTGAGTTTCTTTATGACAGGTATTTCTAGATGCTCCTCTTCTTGAAGGAAAAGCCATTGTGAATCATTCATGTAACTTTGTAAGATCCATCTGTTGGGTCGCAGACTGATTGTGTCACCTCACATACGGGTTCACTGGAAAGACTCATTATTTTTTTAAAGAAAAGGGTGTATGTTCACATAGGCTAGGTTTACACTTGGAAGTAGTGTGGCATAGGAGGGACCCAGCTGTTGCTGAGAACCTGTAAGGGACCCATTAACTCAGCCTTCCTTGGTTCCATTTGCACTTGCACTGCCCAATGCAGCTTCCGCTGGTTTTCAGCCAAGAGGAATCTTGTTTCAGCTTCCCGAGTCTGCTCCACAGCAAAGCACCGTAAATGGGGGCAGTCAGGGGGCGCGCTTCAAAAGCAGACTCTGATCTGAACTCTAAATGCTTATGTTTCTGTGTTTGCTTTGAAGCAAAATTCATAGTAAAACTAGGAGTTGCTAACTTTCATAGGTATTTAGTAAACATGACTTGCCAGCTGTTAAGACATTGGACCTGGAAAATGCTTTTTATCTCACAACTTCAGTAATGAAATCGGAAGTCAGGTTTAAGATGCTGCTTAATATTTGAAGAACAAATCTGAATCAGTGTAAAGCTTGATGGTTTTTTTGGTTTTGTTTGTTTAAATGACTTGATTGGCCAGAGGCTTTTTTTGGGGGGGGGGTTGGGGGGGGGGGTGGCATCCTTCTGGAGTTGCACTGCTCTGATTCTTCCTTTGGTGCACTGATGCTTTTCACTTCCTCGCGGTTTTCCTTTGACTCCAGTCAACACAGTCGTAAGGAGAAGCATGAGGTGCAGATGGATCACAAACCCGAATCCCTTGCATTAGTGAAAGGGACAAACACATTCACCTTGCTGAACTTCTTGATAAACTGCAAGAGCCTGGTGGCTGTTGCAGGTCCACAAGCAGGGCTTCCACCAACTTTGCTGTCCCCTGTTGCTTTCCGAGGTGGAACAATGCAAACGCTCAAAGTAAGTAACACAACCGTCTCTGTTTTCCGATAAAGAAAAGAAAGTTGTTTCTTCACCCCATAGATGAGACACTGACTTTGCATAGTCTCCTTCAGGTACAGCAGAGTCATTTTTGTTGCTGTAGCCCGAGTTCGCATTTTGACTGCACTACGGACTGCCTCCTAAATCACCTCTATCCACATAGATCGGTGCTGCTAAACTGAAATCCCAGCGTTTCCATTCTTCACATCCTGATACGTAAGAGGTTACGCAGACTTCCCAGATACTAAAATGGTTCTCAGAAGATTCTCCCGAGACCTCATGGGGCCTCAAACCATCACAGCTGCTTGCAGCGAGGGAGGCTCTGAACCATGCCTCACCATCTGTTACTATAAGGAGGTGGTGGATGCTAAAGGATGTGCTATTAATACAGGTAGCGCAGCCCTCTTCCACCAGCGCCGTTCAACTCTGTTCTTCTGCAGTTAACTTTATTAATGCTGTATAGCATTCCTGCCTATCAGTTGGTACATTTTAGGAGTCGTTAGAAAGACAGCAAAACCGTCATAATACTCATGTATCGAACAGCGAGTTGACAATATTTAAAAGTATTTTGAACCTTTAATAGGACTGTGGCACTGCAGTTTTAGAGTAAATGAAGATGTGGACTTGATGTGTCGAAAACTAATGCTATGTGCTCTTGTCTTCAGGCTCGAAGCATAAATGCCAAAGCCAGGGTTCACCTGGCATATGAGGATATCTTCAGTTTGGAGATCGTAGGCCCCGTCATGCCTCATTCCCTGCATTCACTGACCACGCTGCTCAAATCCGCACAGAGGGGAGCGTTCTCGGCTGTTTTATATACACACGAGCCAACTGCTGTGTTTAACACTAATCTTGACAATGCAAGCCCTGCCTTAAATAAGGTAAGGAAACTAGCAGAGACAATCTTTCCTGTTAGGAATAGCATCTTTATTACGAACCATAGGACACCGAGTGACACAAAACTTTCCCTTAATACATGGGTTTACACCCAATTACTTGTGATCACCACCTGGCAGTCCTCATGGCTTGTCATTCCCTCAGAAATTGAATACTCGGATTTTCAGGAGTTCCCCAGAGGTACACAAGTGAATATTAAAAGCTACAGGTATTTCAAACAAATACCTATTCCATGTCTCTCCTCTTCATGTGAATTTCCGCAGGAAGCCGTATGCAAAGATCTTCCTACGTGTGGACTGCATCCTAAGACTTTGGATCAACTGAGTCAGTGTCCAGCATTGGGAAAATCCTCCATCCGATTTCTGGAAATGAAGGATTATGCTTATACCTGGAAGTCCTAGGTATGCTAGTTCCATTTAATGGAAAAGAATGCTCTCTAGCGTGCAGTTGCTGTACTTCATTCGGGTCTACACGGGCAGCACCTATGCAGTACCGGGAGGGATACAACCTAGTTGAACATCACAGACAACTATTGCACATCACCCAGCATAAAACACTTCAAAGGACTTTTGAAGGAAATGAAGGTCTTGGACATCTCCTTTTGTATTTTAGACAGCCTTTTTTAAATAAAACTTGATAAAACATGATTAGCTATTTTATTGGTCTGAATTGCATCTGGAAGGTCTGTGTTCTTCATGCACATGCAAGTTCTATTCTGAAGTACAGAGCTGCTGCTACTGCTCTGTGCGGTAACTGGTAGCCATTTTGGATGGGTGGAATATCTTGGCAAAACCCCTTCCAAGACTGCTTCAGCACCTTGCCAGAAGCTTGACAGCTACGCCTCGGTATGCTGCACCTCTTGGTTTAGAGACAGCTCTGAACTCCACAAAGATAGATGAAAGTCAGATGGACACAAGCAGAGAGTCCTGGCTGCAGCTCAATCAGATTAAAAGGTTAAGATTCCTCAGAACTGCTTGACATAGCTGTCTAGTATTCCCAAACCCACTTACGTTAAAATGAGCTAGACTTTTAAAAAGCAGTTTGTACCAACCATAACCTGAATCAGAACAAGTTGGAGCAGTAACATAGTTGTACGGCCTGATCGAAGACAGAGAAAATGAGAGGCAGCAGACTGCTAATCTGACTCTGTTATGTTCACAGATAGCAGTAGTAGGGTCTATTAACAAGTTTAATGCAGTCCGTTTCACTTCAGGTAGTCAAAGCTGTTATTTTGGAGGCATGTATGTCACTTTTTACACAGCTATCAGGTGATCAGATCCCTGCAGCAGAGAAAACTAAATCTGAAGAGCAGTATGTAGAATACTGTCACGTTTGTGCCCTCCAGCAAGATTTCTAATTCAGCTGTGCACAGAAAATAAAGCAGCGCTCACGCCATGTGGTCAGCTACCCTCATCTTTACTACAGCGCCGTTCTGCTCACCACCTCAGAATCAGTCTGCGATTCTGAAACAGTAACTTTAGACTGTGGCCAGGTCTTACTTGAGGAAACAGCCTGTGAACTTAAAAATGTGGGCACGTAAACAAGTTACTGCAGGTTGAGGCATGATGAAAGCTTCCTGTGCCTTCCAGTTACTTCATATCGACACCACGTGAAGTATCCTACCCCAAGAATGCAGCATGTATACAATTACACTGGAATGCTTTACATTTACATCTGTTACTTTACAGTAACTACCATGACACTGTCAGCCTAGTGGTACACTGAACAAGACAACATCTAGAAAACCTAGACAAAGGGAAAGTCCCTCTCTTACGATGGAAACAGGCACCTCAGAATATTAAAATCTTTGATAATGTCAAATACTCGGTTTCTGGTGGAGTTCAGGGTAGTACAATCCGACTTCACACTTCTCCCTAACTAATCTAGAAGCAAATTACTGCACTTTTCCCCTTTGACTATTAGCAGACACCAAGAGTGAAAATCCAGTGCCAACGGCATCGTGGGGATACCAGGAGACTGGGTTTCTCAGGTGGCTGGTGTGTTAACTACACCTTCATTTCCAGTCGCTTTTTAACTGAGAGTAACAGTTAATTCAATGCCTTTATCCTCTGGCTTGCCTGCCTCCGTCAGTCACAGCCTCTGCTACTGGGCTCTGCAGTCCGCTGTAAACTAACCCTTAGCCCAACGCCACGGGTCGTCAACAGCAGTTCTCACAGCAACCACATTCTGCTGCACTGCACAGAGCGCAGCTTCCCCTGCTGTCACAGGGGTGAGCCCTTCTGAAAGCTGCTCATGACCTCAGAGCCCACAGCCCCAGTTCTGAAACAGGCAGCATCTTCTGAGTGTCTGCTCGAGGAACGGGCCTACTGACGGAGCGTGTTAGCACACAGAGGAAGTTACTGAAAGCAATAGGAAAAAGCAGTTCTGTAGCTGCCTCTGTGGGAAAGCAATTTTAATCAAGCCAATAACCACTCTGGCATGTAGACTTAAGCCTGTCTGTTTCTAGGAAATACCGTAATTACTACTAATTTCAGTTCCAGTTTGTATTTTCACATCTAGCATGTTAGAGTTGTGCAGAGACACCAACGCCAATGAATAGCGTGCAGTCATTTAAAAAAAATTGAATTGCCATTACACTCCTGTAGCCTAGAACGGTGTAATTTCAAAAATTTACCACCAAATTCTTTATCACATGTTTGCACCATTACCTGAGCTGTAGCTCCTCTGTAAACTGCCTGTTGGTTTTAAGTCATAGCTTTGCCCGTAATTTCAGAAGCGTATTCCAGTTGCTTACAGCTCTGGGATTCAGTGCTCTTCTTGAAGCGTACTTGGCTCCAATGAACTGTCCCTGTAAAAGCTACAGCATTACACGACCCAGTCTGCTGCTCTTCTACCTAAAGGTATTTTCGGTAAATACTACCATTATTCCAGATGCTTGTAGAGCAGCAAGATTTGTTTATTTAACCTGTCCAAACAAGTGAATTTTCATCACAACTATCATTTGTTTGGAAGAGCCAGAGACTGTAGCGGTTGATTAAGACTTCATACAGTTTTTGCCCTTTAAGAGGCAATTTTGAATTTTCCAAGGCATGGGAACTTCACCTTCCTGCTCCTCCAGCCCTAACTGTTTAAAAACTACAAATTAGAAGACTGCCAAGAAATCGTTCTGGTGGAAGCTGGCTTCAAGTTCCCGGGCACCTGTTTCAAAATGCTCCTCCCTCGCACGACAGGGAAGTCAGAAGCACTTTCAGCAATGTTACTTCTAGGAAAGTAATTCTGCGCGAAAGGAAATTCAACGGCCAAACAGATCACGTCTTCCATCAGCAGGAGTCACAGACTATTCAGCTTTAAGACAGCTGAAGTGCTGCATAAATAACCAGGTTCCAAGAGAGTGTTTCCTAGTTGTTCTTTTTAATGTATCACTACTTATCTATTCCTGCATGCAAAGGACACTCAAACGAATTCCAATTTACAAATTTAACAGAAGCACATCGCTGCACTAGCTTTAGATTCATATATCATTCTAAACAACGAGGAATGAAACTAGAACAGAAACCTCAAAATCAAGAAGTGTCATAATTAGGGCATTACAGACCTTAATTTCTTTTTTTTGTAAGTCTTCCTTAAGACCAAAGGTTAAATCCACACACAAGTACCACATCTTTTAAGGCATGAAATCCAGAACTTGCCTAAATAGTTGGTTTTTAAATGGAGTCTTCAATAGGACTGACTTCATCTGCTCCTTGCTGCTGTGAGATAACATGTATCTTTACATTATACATGGGGAATATAGAGCAAAAAAAGAACAAAACAACAAGCACAAGAGATTGTATGTTCCCAGATGCGATACTGTACAGCTATGAAACCAGTGCTTACATGGACACCATAGACTACACAGAATGATCAACATCTCTGATGCTTTAGCTCTATCAAACCAGACATTTAAACACAAGTCTGATTAGGAGCTGCTCCCACATCCCGAGTTAATTACTTTAAGTCGTACATCAAAAAGCCAGACTTCAGCTAGGACAGATACAACGCCCAGTTCTCCCAGAGCAGATCTTCCCATTGCTGTACCATCATATTTACTTTTGGTTTTCATACACACCTTCCAACTAGTTCAGCAAACGAGGCAAGGAGATCTTCAAGTATTTAGTCAGAGACGGAAGGCGAGAAGCCAAAGGGAAAAAAGTTTTAATTAAAGACAACTACGTCCATGAAAATTAAGATTAACTTAGGCATTTCTAGAGCGCTTTGACAGACTAATAAGGGGTTTTATTTCTTGAAGTATGTGGTGGACAACCAAATACCATTTTCTCTGCTGTACACAACATGAGACATTGATCCTTGTCCCTTTAGGGCAAAGAAAGACACCTTGTTCCATAACAGTTGACAGCATACACACAAGTCACCTCACTTTGTGGAAGAAGAGGTACTAGTAATTCTTCACCTCCATGTTCCTACTGCCATGGCAAAGGTCATTCACTTCGGGCCCGAGCACAGCCTTACTACACACAAACTTTATTTTGCTCCTGGCCCAGACGAAGCTCTGGTCAGTAGATGTAATACAAAGAGCCCTCAAAAAGACTTTTCTGAAATAAGCACCTGAACTACTAGAGTCCATAAATCCTGGCAATCTGCTCGTAACTCAGACAAATCTGGCAAGAGGTGTACAATGCCCTTTCCAATTCAAAGTGCACATAGCTAAAGTACTAATACTTCTTAAAATAAAAAAAAAAAAAAAAAAAAAAAAAAAAGAGAGGGGGAAAAAAAAGGAGGAAAAGCTTTCTATATCCTCTCCCTTGTCAAACTGCCAAAACTCTGGATCAGGCTGTCTCCTTGAGGGCAGAGTACCATCACGGAAAATTTAAGCCCAAGGAGTTAATTTGGTAACGGTCCAAAGCAACCAAAAATGACTAGAACTGATTCTTGCAACCCTAACAGCTGTTGATAATCTTCATAAAGCATACTTTCATACTGCGCGTTTCTTCAAAAAGTTGTTTTGGCATACATTTTAATTACTGTTTACTGACCAGTGATTAAGATTATGAACTTGTGCTGCTTTATTGACCAAGTTGGGTACAACAATTTAAGCATCATTCTATCCCCTCCCTCCCCCCCGAATCCAGTTGTAGATTTGTTAGAGTTTAAAATTCACATTAACCACAAATTCATACAATCAACATCAGGCAGTGTGTTAATTTGTTTGGAATAGACAACTCCGTCACCTCCCTTCTCAGAACATGCAGGGAGAGTCACCTTTACATTGCAAGTCTCATCGGTTCCATTGCTGGACTTTCTGCCATCCCTTTGAAAGCGAGTCTTTTGCCTAATCGTGTATGTCCTAGAGCATGGGCTGTACGGCCAGTCGCAGTGCACCACCGAGTCAAACCCCCAAACAAAATTCAAAGAGAAGCCGCAGCGTTAACACTGTACAACAGGGCTGCCACCGCGCGCTCTCTCACAGGGGTCACAGTACTGGCCCAGTATCTGTCCAGCAGTACACGCCAGCCTCGACTAGACTAAGGTAAGCCGCACGACCTTTTACCAGCTGTCGGCAAAAGTGCAAGAGTAGCTTTACCGAGACCGGGGAAAACTGCAGCATAGTACAAAACAGTATGAAAGTGTTAACATTCCGTATTGAAGAGAAATTGCATGAGTTTTAAAACAAGGGTTTAGATTACTGATGCCTCCAGAGTCTATCGTCCAATTTAGTCATTTAAGAAATAATTACATCACTAATGTAAACAATATAAACATACCAAAAACTAAGTATGATTTAAATACATTTTGATGGTACAAAAGAAAAACCTGAAGGTGTCTGTACAGTTTTTACAACGTGGGAATTGCCAATGTATTTACAACATGAAAGGGCAAATACCATTTTTGTGCAGAGTAAAATTATCTGAAATAATGTCAATATAAAAAACAATATCTAGCGGTGTGAGGCACTCCTAAACATGGTGGTATTAACCATGCTTTCCTTTGGTACAAGTCCCATCGCTTGGAGAGCCGCAGTTGCTGCTGTGGCTTTAGCATGCTTCTTGTTAAGGCTGGCAAAAGTAGGCCTATATTCGTTTCCATTGACTCTCACCTGTTTATGAAAGAGGGGGAGGAAAAAAAGAAAGTGTTAGGACGCGTCTCTTCACTTCTGCTTCCAGGCAGCGCTACAGAGCTCCTTTCAGCACATTCTCTAGGTAAGTCCTCTTTAGGGGTAGACAAAATCCACGTCTGGTCTGTAAGCACAATCATTTCCAAATGGTAACTGCCACTACGAGATACTACGTGAAAAAGAAAGCCAACGTCGTAAGATAACGAAGGACAAAACTAACTAAATCTTGCTCACGACCTTTACAACAATAAGACTTAACACCACACCTGCAAGTAAACAGCAAGAATATGATACCACATAGGTTAATAATTTCGCTAAGACGTGGAACAGCGTCTTTCTTGGCGGATTTACAGATTAATGTGCGCGAGAGATCCAATTCGGCCTTTACAGAAACAGGACTTAGACATTTTAGCATCGAGACACCGCTTGGCAGTTCTCAGCCACCCCTGAGGTGGCTTGTACGTTTATATACAAATATAAACATGAATTTACATCACCTTTAATAGCGAAACCAACAGCAAACAAGGAAACTCAAACACACCTTAAAGATAAAATGTTTGCGATGATCAGGCCCACTATCGTCCACCAACACAAATTCAGGTGGTGACCATCTTCTTTTGTTACAGATCTCCATCAACGCAGAAACTGGATGTTTACCTTAAAGATAAAATGTATTTGATATTTCAATGCCACTGTCAAAGCAATCATTTTAAATGAAAATTTTTTTTTTTTTTAGACAGGTAAGAATCTCACCTGAAAGATCCTTCATCACAACATAATGTCCAGATCTCTTTTGTGCCTTCTCTCCCACAGCAACAAGCCCTAAACAAAACACAACAAAGTTTACATTTGTGATTCCCACACGATTTCTATATTCTCATCAGTAAAGCAGTAACATGTATCAGTGGAGATGAAACCTGGAGACACCACACAACTGTCTTTTTGGAAGTCTTTCAAACCGCCCTTTCATCCAGAGGTTTTTTTCCCTCCATACTACACTTAATGTTCCTCTCAACTGCTCCAGTAAGACTCTTGACAAGCCAAGTAGCAGAAAACTTTGAGTAGTCTTATGCAAGTCAGGCAACACCTGGTTTTCCGTGCCTTCTTTGGAGAAACGCTGAACGAGAGAGAAACTCAAAAACATCCTCTCATTCAGTATTTGCTTTGTGCAACCCAAAAGTCATCCACTACCTTAACAATTCACCTCTAACATACTAAGCATTTGACGTATTTCCATTAAACAGTAAAAAGTGTACCTAGTATGTCCTTTTATGATACGAATAACACAGTGATGTTCTTATAACATGTGCTCTCTTTATTTAACGGTATTCAAATATTTATCCTTTATGTGCAAGTTCACAGCCCCATTACCGTGATTTCACTCACATCTGAATATAAAGTAGCAGAAAAGCACGCAACTGGGCCCCAAGGCAATACAAAGAGCACAAGTTCCAACAGAAGTCAGTGAAACAGGGAAGCTGAACATTTTTCTTTTTAAAATCTTACAAGAGTAAGAAATAAAATGTAGCAATTGCCAAAAATGTATCAAATGCCAGTAACCATACCATGCTTATGAAGTGACTCAAGTTTCTTTCCATTCACTTTGCCATTACCTTAAATACACATAAAAAAAAAAATACCTGACCGTTTTTTCAGAATTTCTCAGACTTCAACCCTTCAATATTACTTTGTTTCTTACCTCAATTTCTTTCTGTTCCTGGCTTTGGTGAATAAAGACAGGGAGATACTGCAATTGTTTCCAGTTTCTTCCTGTTCCTTCAGCTTTTTTTGGTTGGCATTTTGTTTTGTTTTGCTTTAAAAGAAAATCCTTCCCTCCTTACCAGATTTTCATCCTAATATTCATGCAGCTCCGAAGTAGGGACTTTTCAAGTGGCATCAAACCCTCATAGACAACAATCATCGAAACAAAGTTTCACAAAAGTTTCCCCCCCCCCCCCCTTACAAGATTTTACATCCAAAATAACCAAAGATTTCCCCCAAAGAAAAAAACTCTTATGTCATTCTCCGCATTAATACTGTGTCTCCCTCACTCTAAGTCACTGACACTTGTCTTCCACATCTTGTCCCTAGCACCTCAAGAGGGATTTTCAAAAAAGCTGCAACGGACTCTGACAAGCTCTGCTGATGGACCAAGCTTCGCTGAATACCACCAACCAATAATTTACTGGCTGACAGCAAAGCTCAAGAAGGGGTTGGTTTCAATGCTGTCTGTGAGAGAACTACAGATCTCGCTCGGTGTCTGGAAAAAACAGGGTCTAAGGGAAAGCTATGGCAAAGGCAGACCACCTTTTGGTTCATGTCTTAGTGCAGCCTACTGAGTAACTCCTTGGCAAACTGCTTGTTCCTGTATCTAGAAATAGTATTTTATTTGGGGGCTAAGTTCTAAAAATGCGTTTAAAAACCCCTACAAAACAAAAATGGGTTAGTTACTTAATAACAGACAGACTCCTTTTAAAAATTTCAGACTTTTCTTTAAACCTCTACACAAAACTTAAAAAAAAAAAAAGACGATACATTTAAGCATCAAAGAACACTAATGTTTGAAGAAGCTGTTCAGCTACTCGTCATAAATGTATAACCACTGTTCAGTTGCTTCTTTGTAATGCACGAAACGTGCTGCTTCTTCATAATGCAAATTGTCTCCCCATATAATAGACTTGGTTGGCTCAACATTAAAAAGCATTCTTTATCAACACAGGACACCTTTCGATTTTTTGTGGAAATTATCAGATAAGATTGCATATATGATAATAATCAAATACTTTAAAACTATGATATTAAAGCAAAGCCCAGCCATCACTAAGGGTATCAGTATTTTCAGATGAATCCATCACATGCCAGGAGAGGCATCCTTTAACTCCATCTAACATTTTTAATTGTTACTGAAGACCGAGCGTTCTGAAGCAGAAAGAGCAAACGGTCTGTTACAGAATGCCCAGCACAATGAGGACCTGATCCTCTCTCAGGCCTTAGGACTTGATCCTTGAAACTTCGGTATCAAGTTCTGCAGGCATTAAGGAAATTTCTATTAGAAACCACATGAGGATCCTGGGGCACGCTTCTAGAACTGGGAACTTGAGGTGTGACACAGCTGTGTATCACCAAAATGTTTTTAATGTTCAAAGTGTTCACAGGTTGTGCAGCAATACTGCCTCCTTCCCACGATGTGACAAGAAGCAAGCAACATAACGAACAGAGCTAACTCTTCCCTCCTCACCACAAAAATCCATCACCGTGTTATGCAGGCTGCTTGAGAAAATAATACTGAAATTGACTGTTTTCAATTTCTTCCCTCTGACTGATATTAATCAAGCTAAATTGAAAGAACTCTTACCAGCAGTGAGAACTTTACAAAACAACATCTACAAAAATCACAGTAACTAAGTAAAAGTAACAAAATATTTTTCAAAGATTTTCTTGGCAATCACTCTGTCACCAGGTAACTTTTTTTTTTTTCTTTCCCCTCCTCCTTTCTTTAAACAGAAAGGTTGCACAGAAGAAAGACAGCTGAAAAGCAAGTTTGGTCATTGTTCATATAAAACGAAGATGTCTGTATTACTGTGTTCTGTTCTTTGAGACTGTTGCACTTCTCTA